TTTTTGAGACAGGGTGTCACTCTGTCACCCAGGGTGGAGTGCAATGATGCAATGTTGGCTGACTGCAACCTCCACCTCCCGGGTTCGAGCGATTCTGCTGCATTACCCTCCCGAGTAGCTGGGATTACAGGCGTGTGCCACCATACCCTGCTAATTTTTTTTTGTATTTTTAATGGGGGGGGAGGGTCACTATGTTGGCCAGGCAGGTCTCGAACTCCTGATCTCAGGTGATCCTCCTGCCTCTGCCTCCCAAAGTGCTGGCATGAACCACCGCGGCTGACCTCCTGTCACTAAAAATTCTAAGGAAACATTGTTTCTATCAAATCGTGCATAACACTTAAGAGTTTTCCTTTTATCCGGCTACTGGGCTGTTATAGGGGCGGTGCTCAAGTGTTTTGCTAAATAACTGCGATAATTACCTATGTACATAAATGCTCGAATAAGTGTTTGAGGTCAGTGCTCCAAAAGGCACAAATTCCTTTTCACAGAGGCCAGAACCCCTTCGCCCTCCCGCCCCAGTGGTGACCCGTGTGCCCGGGTCCCTTGACATCCCTCTCGCTTGGTTTGTGGAAGAGCCGCTGTATTCAGATACAACTCCTGTGATTAATTCACGGAAATTACTCGGTGATGCCAGGTCGTGTCCCAGCAGGGACCGACCCTCGCGGGTCCCACGCGAGCCCCCAGGCAGGGAGGGCCCCGTCCCACCCACCGGCGATCCGGGTCGGGGGCTGCAGGGGCGGGGCTGGCGGGGCGTGGCCGGGCGCGGGGCTGGGGGCGTGGCCGGGGTCTCGGGCCGGGGGCGTGGCCGCGGGGGGGGAGATCCGGGGGCGGGGGCGCCGGAGCGGCGCATGCGCGCTGCATTGTTTTGACTGAAAATGCCGTCGGTTTCGAAAGCGGCGGCGGCGGCGGCGGCGCTGAGCGGGTCCCCCCCGCAGACTGAGAAGCCGACCCATTACAGGTCAGCGCCCGTCCGGCCCGCGCCCCCGCCCGCCCCGGTCCCGCCCGCCGCCTCCCGCCCGGGCCCGCGCTGCCTCCGCCGCCCCTTCGCCGCCCCCGCGCGCCCCCGGCCTCCGCGCCGCGCCCGGGCTGGGGGGCCGCGACCCTCTCCGCTCCGGCCGCCGCCGCTCGAGGTCGGAGCGCGGCGCCCAGGGTGTGGGGCGGCGCCTGGACTCCGGGGTCCCCGCGCCGCTGGGGAGGGAGGAACCGCCCCGGGGTCGGGGGTCGGGGGTCGGGGGTCGGGGGCCGGGGGCCGGGCGCGGGCTCGGGACCGGGACCCTCCGCTCCAGCGGCCGCCGCCTGAGGTCACCGCGGTCCCGGGGTCTGGGGGGCGCCTGGGCTCTGAGGTGCGGGCACGGTCGCGTCTTGCGCGGGATGGGGGGCGGCGCCTGGGGCCCGCCAGGAGTCGGAGTGGGGCTCGGGCCCGGGGCGGGGCCCCTGAGGCCGGTGGGTCCCTCCGCCCACGAGTCCCCGGGGCCGCCCGGCGGAAGCGAGCGCGGCGCTGTCTGTTTTTAGGTACCTGAAGGAGTTCAGGACGGAGCAGTGCCCCCTGTTTTCACAGCACAAGTGCGCGCAGCACAGGCCGTTCACCTGCTTCCACTGGCACTTCCTCAACCAGCGGCGCCGCAGGCCCCTCCGCAGGCGCGACGGCACCTTCAACTACAGCCCCGACGTGTACTGCTCCAAGTACAACGAGGCCACCGGCGTGTGCCCCGACGGCGACGAGTAAGGGCCGGGGGGCGTGGGAGCCTCCACCCGGGGTCGGGGCCCGGACCCTCAGCCGGGGGCAGGTTGGAAGCTTCCACCCGGGGACAGGGCCTGGACCCTCAGCCCGAGGCAGGTTGGAAGCTTCCACCCGGGGACAGGGCCTGGACCCTCAGCCGGGGGCAGGAGGGGGCTTCCACCCGAGGTCGGGGCCTGGACCCTCAGCCGGGGGCAGGAGGGGCCCTCCACCTGGGGTCGGGGCCTGGACCCTCAGCCGGGGGCAGGAGGGGTCCTCCACCCGGGGACGGGGCCTGGACCCTCAACCAGGGGCAGGTTGAGAGCTTCCACCCGGGGACAGGGCCTGGACTCTGAGCCAGGGGCAGGTTGGAAGCTTCCACCGGGGGTCAGGACCTGGACCCTCAGCTAGGGGCAGGTTGGGAGCTTCCACCGGGGGTCGGGACCTGGACCCTCAGCCAGGGGCAGGAGGGGGCCTCCACCCGGGGTTGGGGCCTGGCCCCTCAACCAGGGGCAGGTTGGGAGCTTCCACCTGGAGACGGCGCCTGGACACTCAGCCAGAGGCAGGTTGGGAGCTTCCACCCTGGGACGGGGTCTGGACCCTTAGCCAGGGGCAGGTGGGTGGGCTTTACCCGGGGACAAGGACTGGACCCTCCGTGGATCCCTGGTGTCCATGTTTGGCCGCTGTAGAGGGAGTGGTAATTATTCTCTGAAGTTTTCCAGTGACCAGGGTTGGTGGTGAGACAGTTACTGTTTTCAGGCCACTTCCCAAGAGACTGTGTGTGTTTTAGGGGTAACGCTTGTGTGACTGAATCCAGTTTTGTTTCATCTGCTTTTTTTTTTTTTAATTTGAGATAGGGTCTTGCTCTGTCACCAGGGCTCGAGGGCAACGACGGGACACAGCTCACTGCAGCCACCAACTCCCAGGCTCAAGTGATTCTCCCTCAGCCTTCCAAGTAGCTGGGACTACGGGCTCATGCCACCCCAGCTAGCTTTGTGTAATTTTTGTAGGGATGGGGTCTCACTACGTTGTCCAGGCTAGTCTTGAACTTCTGGACTCAAGTGATCCTCTTGCCTCAGCCTGCCAAAGTGCTGGGATTCCAGGGGTGAGCCACTGTGGCCAGCTGTTTCCCTGTCTTGATTTGACACAGTTCTTGCATCAGAACCTACGCCTGGCCAAGTGTGTTGTTTTGTGTTTCTGTAGAGACTGGGTTCTCGCTGTAGCCCAGTCTGGTTTCAGACTCCTGGGCACAGTGGTCCTCCCACCTTGGCCTCCCAAAGGCTGGGATTCCAGGCAGGATCCCCTGCGCCTGACCAGGTTTGGGAGCATTTTGCAGTGGTCAGATGCTTCCCACGCAGAGAGCTTGTTAGAATGTTCACACTATGGAGAACATCTGGGATGTTTATGTTATTTTTTTGAGGTGGAATCCTGCCTTGTTGCCCAGGCTGGAGTGCAGTGGCACCATCTCAATTCACTGCAGCCTCCACCTGCCTGGTTGAAGCGATTCTTCTGCCTCAGCCTCCTGAGTAGCTTGGGATTACGGGTGCACACCACCACACCTGGCTAATTTTTTGTATTTTTTTTTTTTTGAAGTAGAGACAGGGTTTCACCGTGTTAGCCAGGCTGGTCTCAATCTCCTGACCTCATGATTCTCCTGCCTCAGCCTCCCATAGTGCTAGGATCACAGGCATGAGCCACTGTGCCCGTGTTTCCTTTGTTGATGTTTACATATTCATTTTAATTGAAAAAAGATAGTAAAGTTATTTTATGTGCAGACTCATTTATGTAGCACTTCTTTTTTTTTTTTTTTTTTTGGGACGGGGTTTCGCTCTTTTTTCCCAGGCTGGAGTGCAATGGCGCGATCTCGGCTCACCGCAACCTCCGCCTCCTGGGTTCAGGCAGTTCTCCTGCCTCAGCCTCCTGAGTAGCTGGGATTACAGGCACGCACCACCATGCCCAGCTGATTTTTTGTATTTTTAGTAGAGACGGGGTTTCACCATGTTGACCAGGATAGTCTCGATCCTTGACCTCGTGATCCACCTGCCTCGGCCTCCCAAAGTGCTGAGATTACAGGCTTGAGCCACCGCGCCTGGCCCCTTTTTTTTTTTTTTTTTTTTTTTGAGATGGAGTCTCACTCTCTGTCGCCCAGGCTGGAGTGCAGTGGCGGGATCTTGGCTCACTGCAACCTCCGCGCCCCCCCCACCCACCCGTTTTAAGCGATTCTCTTGCCTCAGCCTCCTGAGTAGCTGGGACTACAGGTGCGAACCACCATGCTCTGCTAATTGTTTTCGTATTTTTAGTAGAGAGAGAGTTTCACCGTGTTAGCCAGGATAGTCTCGATCTCCTGACCTGGTGATCCATCTACCTTGGCCTCCCAAAGTGCTGTGATTACAGGCGGGAGCCACTGAGCCAGGCCTCTAGCACTTTTAAAGTTGCAAAATCAAGGTTTTGTTCTGGTTGATTTTATTTTACAAGTTTCCTAATAGTGTTACGAACAGATGTCTTTATTTTGAAATACGTAAAATAGGAAAGGAGGGAAAATCCAAGTCAGATTGTATATTCACTGACCGGCGGGAGGTGGTGTCAGGTTCTGCTTTTTTCCTGTGGGCTGCTCGCAGAGGGTGGAGGGTGGTCTCTTCCTGCCTAGGAGAGAAATGGCAGTTGCGGTCCTGACGTCTCCATTCCAGCGTCTTTTGGAAGGAGCCGACTGTCCAGGGATCTTCCCGTTGAAGGCTGCTTTCAGTGTGGAGACCCTTGTGAATTGAAGTCCTTATTCCTTTATTTTTTCAACAATGCGTAACCCAAGGGATAAATTTTTCTGATTTTTTTTAGAGGTGTTGTACTCTTTAAATACTGAAATGTTTTTAATTGCTCATTAATTAAATAGTGTTTGTTTTGTTTTCGTTGTTTTGAGATGGAGTCTTTCTCTGTCACGCAGGCTGGAGTGCAGTTGTACAGTCTCTGCTCTTTACAACCTCCGTCTCTCGGGTTCAAGCGATTCTCCTGCCTCACCCTCCCGAGTAGCTGGGATTACAGGCATGCGCCACCAGGCCTCACTAATTTTTGTATTTTTAGCAGAGACAGGGTCTCACTATGTTAGTCAAACTGATCTTGAACTCCTGACCTTAGGCGAGCCACCCACCTGGCTGTTTTGATTTTATTTTATTTTATTTTTTGAGACGGAGTTTGCTCTTGTTACCCAGGCTGGAGTGCAATGGCGCGATCTCGGCTCACCGCAACCTCTGCCTCCTGGGTTCAGGCAATTCTCCTGCCTCAGCCTCCTGAGTAGCTGGGATTACAGGCACGCACCACCATGCCCAGCTAATTCCTTGTATTTTTAGTAGAGACGGGGTTTCACCATGTTGACCAGGATAGTCTCGATCCTTGACCTCGTGATCCACCTGCCTCGGCCTCCCAAAGTGCTGGGATTACAGGCTTGAGCCACCGCGCCTGGCCTGTTTTTATTTTATTTTTTTTCCAGAGGCAGTGGTATTGTCAGAACCGCCTGGTGGTTTTTGTTCTATGAGACAGGGTCCTGGTCTGTGGCCTGGGCTGGAGTGCAGGGGAGCAAACACTGCTAACTGCAGCGTGAACCTCCAGTGCTCGAGTGATCTTCCTGCTTCAGCCTCCTGAGCTGCTGGGACCACAGGAGTGCTGTGTCACTTACACCAGGTGTCACTCTGGTTGCCCAGGCTGGAGTGCATTGGTACCAGTCGGCTCACTGCAGCCTCTACGTCCTGGGCTCAGGTGATTCTCCCACTTCAGCCTCTGGAGTAGCTGGGACCACAGACTCTCTATACCACGTCTGGCAGATTTTTTTGTATTTTCAATAGAGATGGGGTTTTCCTATGTTGTCTAGGCTGGTCTTGAACTCCTGGCCTCAAGTGATCCTCCCACCTCAGCCTCCCAGAGTGCTAGGATTACAGGTGTGAGCCACCACACATCTCTGGCTCAGTTTTTATTTTTTTTTGTGGAGACAGAGTCTCACTATGTCGCCCAGCTTCAAGCAGTCCTCCTGCCTTGGCCTCCCCAAACTGCAGGGATTGTTAAGTGCAGCCATTGCACCTGACCCTAGTATTGTTAAGGCAGGTTGGTGCCTAAACGTGAAATAATGTAGCCAGCCCATTTTGGTTAGGATGGTGATGTACTTCTAGGCAGTTCTGAAAGTGCATAACTGCATTGCTTTTTGAGCCACTGTTATCTGCACATGGGACTTTAAAAGGCAGGTATTTGTCTAGTTGATGTCTGAGCTCAGCCTCTAATTTCCCTTGGTTAAGCCCATCATCTGCCCAGACCTGTGATCCTGAGTTGCAAGTGGGGCCACTGCTGCCTAACTCTGATGTGGGGGTCCTGGACGTGCGGAGACCAGCACTCAGCTTGTCTGACCCCACTCCTTTGAACATGGGGGACTGATTGACTGGCAGCACTCTGTCGCCAGGCTGACGTGATTGGCAGTGCTCTGTCGCCAGGCTGGAATGCAGGGACGTGATCTCGGCTCACTGCAACTTCCGCCTCCCGGGTTCAAGCAATTCTGTCTTAGCCTCCCGAGTAGCTCGGATTACAGGCACCCACCACACAACCAGCTAATTTTTTGTATTTTTAGTAGAGATGGGGTTTCACCATGTTGGCCAGGTTGGTCTTGAACTCCTGACCTCATGATCCACCCGCCTTGGCCTCCCAAAGTGCTGGGATTACAGGCATGAGCCACCTCGCCCAGCCCTCTCTCTTTTTTTTTTTTTTTGAGCTAGGGTCTTGCTCTGTTGCCCAGGCTGGAGTGCAGTGCTGCCATCACAGTTCACTGCAGCCTCGACCTCCCAAAGCTAAGCAGTTCTCCCACTTCAGCTGCCCAAAGTGCTGGGGTTACAGGTGTGCATTCCTGCACCTGGCAGGAGGGCATCTTTTCATAACTGTTGTTTGTCTGTCTCCCAGGCTTGAGTGTAGTGGCATGATCTTGGCTTACTGTAACCTCTGCCTCCTGGGTTCAAGCGATTCTCCTGCCTCAGCC